CCTTGATGTTGAGAATTTCCAGCCATGTTTTCATTTGCATTACAAAGTCTTGACCTGAATCTCAGGATCACAATTCACACAAGATCGCACATAGTTTAATAAATAATCAAATAACCGGCAGCTAAGTCACGCTACCAGATTTTCCTTTTAAATTCGCGCTTAATTTCAGTCAGTTTGGAAATATTAATCTGTTCCGGAAATGGTGGTGAAATTTAATTAAAAAATCACACACAAACACCTCAAGTTTTGACCAAAATTCGCACACAAATTCTCAATTACCCTCAAATAAAGTGGAACATAAAGCATGCAAACGCCACTAATAGTAATGCAATTAGTTTCAAAGCACGAAAACCAAACCAGAGAGTAAATTTAAACAGTATTAACTACAATGTTGCCAGCCGCATGGAAACATCGTGCGCAGTGACAGGGCAAATGTGTGTTTCACAATAGATAATTAAATCAGCATCTTACCCCTAATTGAGCCTCTTTATGCCGGGCCAAGTTAAATGCTAAATTTATCATTAAAGTAGCATTTAACAATATTCGGCTTTATTTTAGTCCATGGCGTTGATACCGGGACACACGCGCTTAAACTGAAATCGAATCATGGCCCAACGCGACGCGCAGTCACGAATGACGTTCAGTGAGGATGTGTGTGAGAATTTGACAGCCCACACGCATGCGCCACCGCGCAGTTTGAGCCGACTTTTAAGTCCATGTCGGACTAGCTTTAATATAAATGCTGCATTTATATTAAAGCCGACACGGCATAAAGAGGCTCATTGAGAGCTGTAAAAAAGAGTGCTTTTCCCCTCTCTCAAAATTATTATTTGATTTTTTTCTTCGCGCATAACTTTCACAGCTGAGAAATTTCCTTGAATGCAATGTGAAGAAATGTACGAAGCCTAAAGCGGGAAAAGGGTGGAAAAGTGGGCCAAGTTGTGAGCAAGGGGGCGATAGTATGTTTCAAAACACTTTAAGAATGCTTCTGCAGAATCTTCAATACTTCAGACACTTCTGAACGTCTTCAAAGACATTTTTCATCGCTTTTTAGACTCCTTCAATTGTTTCTCACACTCAATTCTGACTTATCACAATTTAATCTGAGTTTAATCTAAGTGAGGTTATGAATTCGACTTAAAAAATCCATTCAGTGAATCTCTGAGTGCTTCTACTAGATAATGAGGTGGAATTTTTCATTTTAAAGCAAAAACCGCGGAAATAACCAAACAAAGAAACATTCTTCTAGACTAAAATTGGATTTTTTGAGGTTATGATTGACTTTTAAGCTTTTTCTCAGTCAATATCAAGTTTTTTCGATCAAAAATGCTCAATTCTTTGTAGAAAAAGAGAAATATTCCCAGATTAAGCACAAATTTGATGACTTTGAGGGTTATTAAATCGTCAGAATCTGTTTTAAATCAGTCACATAACCTAGAAAAGGCAATAGAATTGATTGAAATCGAAGCTTTAATATCTGCTCCTTGGTTGTGAGTGCAAATTGGCCTAAAAATCAGCATCTTAGCTGATATTTCAAAGGTGCGCCGCTGGTAAATGCACAAATGCCAGTCGAGATGGTGTTTAGTGTGTGCTTGTGACATTCCAGCATGGAAATATGATGAGGAAGAGCTTCGACGGGGTGTTTTCCGCAAAATTCTGCAGCCCCTTGTCCTCCTGCTGTGCTGAGAAAGTCCCGGGGAGGAAGTGGGCGGGCGCGGCAAGGAGTGCGGTGTACAAATAAGCAATACACCAGCTAATGTGCGGCATGAAGGGTTGAGGCGCATTTTGAGGCCTCCCCAAACGACGAGGGGTGAGCAAACACAGCACGGCCCCCAAAATGTTGAGTGCTGTGCCAAGATTTAAATGTGTGCCTTGTGTATTAGATCAGGGGGTGGCTTTGGGTGGAAGGAAGGAAGAATTGTTTGTTAATGGGACTTGTTGTAATGTGGCTCCCCTCATTTTTCTGCACACACACACACCCGCCAATATGACTTTGAGTGGCTGGAAAGTGGCGTGGGAATATCCTTAAATGCCATCTAAATGACACCGCGACGAGGTAAGAAAGTCACTCCAGCGTCACAAGGGAAAGTTTATGGGCGCAAAAGGCGGAGCCGAAGATCACAAAGATTGCAGTGAAATTATTGATGAAAAATAGTAATTTTAGATGAATTAACAAATCCATGAACTCCAAAAGCGCGCCTGTATTTCTCTACCTTCTTCAATTTCCGTCAATTTCTTATCCTTCTTTCCCAAATTCCACCAAGCACTCGAATAAGACTTTCACTACAACGCCACACTTTCATATCCTATTCAATTCTCCAGCGTATTAGAAGAGACATGCAGTGAGAAAGGAAAATTTATCGTTTCTTCTTCATTCTCATTTTAGGGTGAAAAACTATAATGCGATTTTGATACCATTGAGGCGAATAATCCCCCCATTTTCCCAGGCACCGCACCAACAGCCAGAGAGAGCCCTTGATCCCTTCGCAACAGTTTAACAGCGGCCGCATCGCCATGGACCGGAACTTTCCATCCCAGAAATAGATTACCAGTGGGAATCCCCAAATTCTTTGCTGAGTTTTAACACGTTTTCCATTAAGATGCCCCAACTGGACGGCACAAAGGTGTGTGCGCTTGTTAAGTTATTAAATGACAATTCCCCAACTTCCCTCGGTGTCTTACACAAAATTCCCCACAACCTCCTTGGCGAATCTCCACTGTGCGCGGGGAAGAAGTGCAGCCAAGTGTGGCAATCAACATATGAAAACGGTTGGGATTTCTTTTGCCTCAGCGGCAAAACTTTGCGCCTCAGTCGAAGACAATGTGGGAAATTGATTCTTGTTTGCGATAGTAGTTGAATTAAACTCACTCTCTTTCACCAGCAAAAAGCCAACACTCATCTTGGCTGTATTTTCCTGTTAATATGCGCGGCATTGAGTGAATTGCGGCTGATATTCAACTCCCGCAGCTTCAGCACTAGCAGCCAAACATTGTTCCCATTTCTGATTGATTTGTTTGTTCAAGAGGAAGCTCTTGTACGCCTTGCACCGTGCCATGTACTCTCAACTTCAACCACCGAGTGACAACTTTTCCGTCAGGACTCATGTGGAAAATGGTGATATGATGTTAATTCAATTTCTGTATGTCTTTTGTCTCCGCACACAATCTACAGCACCACTTCTAGCTCAACTCTTTCTCAACAACTTTCGAGACTTTTGCGCTATCTTCGCCCCTTTCGCCTTTTGCCATCGCCTTCCACTCCAAACCCGCCTTTGTTCCTCTCCTCCGCATGGCATCTGTTCTCAGCCGCACTTCACAAATTGCCCAAATTTAATTGTTCGCCCCCCCCCCACAAAATGGGTGTGAAAAATCACAGAGAGACGCTGAATTTTCCCCAAATCTGACTCTCATATTCATTTCACTTTGTCTGGCAAGATGCGGTGAAACTGAGACTTTCAGACTGGCTCCGAGAGGAAATCCCAAGTGACATCAGATGACCAGACAGGAAAATGTGACAATTGGTCAAAAATTGGTGGTCAAATGACTACGAAATCACTTGAGCAAGCGCCGCCATCTTGAACGCATTTCGAGGAAATCAAATTAAAACTTTTGCGCTTTATATGCATTGAATCAGAGCCTCTGGCATTGATTTATCAAGATTTCAGGTAATCTTATGAATTATCAGTTTGATGTTTGATTAACATATTGAAAAGTCTAATTCCTCGGTCAGCCTTGAAATTTTTCATTTTCCGAGATGGAATGTCAATATTCAGACGTAGAAAAATATTCTCATCAAGACGTGCATATTTGCACAAATATCTCACGCATGAAATGCAGAAAAACGCGCATGTTAGTTTGCACTTTTACGCAATTTGCCATTTATCAAAAATGCATTATCTAAAATGGTTCTAAACTGCCATTGCCAATGGCAATCGTGTGTGCTATTTCCCGGTCGGAATTGAATCGTGTGAGTATTCCATATGACCGACAAATGTATGCTCCATTACCCAGAATCGACCAATTTTTGGGCATCTTTTTGTAATACTTCTCGACTTTAGTGTATAAATGCAGAAGGCTGCTAGACGGTCGGATTGCATGCTGTTTCAACTCGCTGTGTTGCTTGGGAAATCCTATTGACACACATAACTGAAGGAATGATTTCGGGAAACTAATTAAATGCCATTAAAACCCTCGTTGAAAATGCTTTCAGTTGAAATATCGGTGCAATTAGCTGTAATTTTGATTCAAATCCATTTCTGCATTACAATGTTGAGCACAATTTTGCCCTTTGCACTACTTTCTGATGATTCAACCAACGGAAGAACAAGAGCAAATCGCCAAAGGCGTGTTTATCATACAAAGACGAGCTTAGCATGATTTATATTTTCGATATAAAAATCAAAATGTTCACACTTCCTAGCGTGGAAGTGGCGAAAAAAAAAACATGTGCTCTGACAGGGAAGAGAGCGTGGCTTTGAAATACAAACCTACATTGGTGAGTGGAAGTCGGATGGAAAAGCAATTTGTGTGAGTCCAAAATGGCAGAGCAGCGCTCGAGTCATTGGCAGAAATTAACACAGTATAATTTAAAAGTCCACAACACGTAATGCACTTCTTATTCCGAACGAATATTGAGTAATATTGCTGGCAAATTTTGAGATTTATAGACTGAAAAATATTACTTTTTGCAAATGACTTTCCCAAACGCTAAAAGTTTCCATTTCACTGTTTTTTTTTCGGGGTGACGCAAAAACCTTTATTTTATTCAACATTTCCATAGAAAGCAAGTCTCCTTCGGCGTGTGCTTAAAATTCCTGGACAGAATCACGGTTTTTTCTTGTCTGTTAGGCAAGCGAAAGATTGAGAAAAATCCATTTGTTTGATGAATGATTTCAAAAGTGAGTGAGAATTAATGCAATTTCACGCATTGAAGAGCAAACTGTATTGAAAATAAAAGTGGTTTTATTAGTAAAAATAATTTATTGATGTATTCTCACCTTCTCAATATATCGTTTTAATTACTATTATTATCTTCATCAATTTCATCCGTCCTGTTTTAATCTTCTGTGTTTAATGTGTAAATCTGTGTGTGTTTTTGTGGAAATAGCGATTTAGCCTAAGCTAGAAAAAGGGAGTCAATTTATGCGATTCCCTTTTTTCTTCTTCTTCTTCCTCTAGCAATAATTACACAATCTTGGCTCGAATTTTGCAAATTCTTTAGTTTATAATTCGTTCACATTTCATCCGTTCTTTTCCTTTTTTCTTTTAAATGTGAGAGAAAATTGTATGAACAGAAAAGAAGTTGAGATATTTTAGCTTCTCGTGTTAACAATTCACAATTGTTTCTGTGATTATTCCCTTCATTGATTCCGAGCTAAAATGTATACAGCCACATTTACTGACCAGCGTCCAAACGTAGGGAATGAAGAATTCCTGTGGTTCATTTTCTTCCACATACTTGAACTTCAAGTCGGGGAATTTCTGCATATTGAGAGATAAATTTATCGCATTATGTGTGGGAAAAGATAAATCTATAATCGACACTCACCCTCAGTCTGTCGCTGGACCACTGACTAGCACCCTTGGAAATGACTTCGAGGACCTCATTCACGCCCAATTCGCCGCGCTGCTCCTGCACGCGCTGCAAGCGTGAGGAGAAGAAGCCCACCACCATGTCGATGTTCTGGATGATGTCCTGGAAGGCGTGATGCGAGCGGAAGTTCTCAAACACCTGCTTCTTGTACAGCAGCGTGTACACCAAATTGGGACAGTAGAGCAGCTGATGCGACAGGCACGAGTTGAGGATCTCCAGCACCATTCGCAGCACCTCCTCCAGCACCGACAGATCCTGCAGCATCTCCTCCTTGGACGTCTGCACGTCCAGACTCACGCCGTTCGCCGGCTGCTTCAGCAAATTGTCCAGGCGCGAGTGCTTGCGCGCCAGCGTCTCGAACAGACTCACCATTCGCTGCGCCACGTACGGATGCAAATACCGGAATTGCCCTGCAAAACCACCAATTAATCCGACACAAACAGCCAAAAACACCACCCAAAGTCACCTGACATGTTCGCCAGTGCGGCCAAGCAGTTGGTGTGCAAATATTTGTCACGCATCTTCAGCATGTTGTACTGAATGGTGCGAATTACAACGAGCACGAGCAGTCCGCCGAGGGAGATTTCAGAGATTGAGCGCTCCGTGTACCAACTGATGGTTTTCAGCATCTGCAAGTGGATGTCATGAGTTAACAACGTCACACACACCATTCAATTCCCCATATTAGCTCACAATCTGATGAACACTCTTGTTGAAGCCGTCGTCTTCGCTCAGGATCAGCAGAATTATCAGCGACATGTAAATATGATGAGACGTACTATCTGGCGCATGATAAAGTGTCTGAAGGATGGGAATCACCTGCAAACGAGAGACACGCTCAATGCCAACATTTCTCGCTCTTTCTCTTAACAGTACTCAAAACTTTCAAAGGAAAAAAAAGCCAAAAATTATTCACACCCGAATAAATTCGGCAAAAAGCAAATACAATTAAATGAAAAATGAGCAAAAATCAACTATAAAAGACTCTGAATTTTTAAACCATGAATCTTGACTTCAATTTTCAGAGCACAATTAATTACTATATAACTCCTTTACTCTCTTATGACTGGCGTTTTATTGTTTTATTATTTTAATGCATACGAAAAAATCACTTGAATTCATACATTCCAAACGGAATTTTTTAACTATTTACGCTACTGATCGAAATATGACTTAAAACTATGAACTTTCTTAGCTTACGTGGAGTTGAAATTTCAATTTGTTGCACAAATTTGAAGGAAAAAATATATAAAATCTCTATTATCCGAGACAAGAACCAAAAAACAAGATTTCAAGATGAAGATTTGAAAGATAATTTGTGATTATTAATCAAATTTTGATTATTTCATACAAAAATTTGATTATTTTTTATTATTTTCTGAATATTTGATTAAAAATTGATTTTTTCGTGCAAATTAATAATAAAATAATAAGAAAATAACCTTTTCTATTATTTTATTTAAAATTTGATTATTTTTCCATTTTACTTGAGAAAATAATCTTTTTTTTAATTATTCAACTCAAATAATTGATTATTTGATTAGAGAAGATTGAGATTTCTAAAAAATCGCCTTGTGACATGATTTCTTGATTTAAGAAACTGTTCAAAGATATCATTTGATGGCCGCCGCGTGTTATTTCTTCAGCAGCACACGAGAAATCTCTTAAAGAACACAAGTCTGATTATGCGTCTGGCCGGCAAAATATTCCACAATTGTCTTACTTTCGCGCCCCGTCACTCTTAATTAATAATCAAATTAATTTCCCTAATAATATTAAGTAATATATGTAACAATGCTGTCTAATTTGTCTGTTATGGCTGCTCGCGGAGAAGAGAAAGAGAGAGAGAAAACACACAGTGCTCAAGGCGCGCTTTCAATGGATGACCGCTCGACTGTCTTGGGGGCTCGTTTTTTGACTATAAAAGCCCCAGTGTGGGCGCTAGGAAATCAGTTCACCTCGTGCCTTCAATCCAAAAACAATTGGAGTAACAGACTCATATTCGAGTAGTGATATTTCATATCAGACCGACAACAATAATCCAGCAATCATCATGCAGTTGATCAAGGTGGAGCTGATTTGGGAATCAGAAGAGTGTTGTGCAAATACTAACGTGAATCTTCTTCCCTCCGCTTTTCTTTGGGGCTTCTCTAGAGTGCTTTCTGTCTGATCGTCATCGTAGCTGCCGTCGCCGCCTTCCCCGGCCACGCTGAGAGCTACGCCAACCACAACAGCCACCACCACGGCGGTGACTACCATCACGAAGAGGAGCACCATCATGTAGGCTCAGCCACGATCCCTCTAATCCCAATCACTGACGCTCTCTCTCTCCCTCAGGCCCCAGCGCCCTACAAGTTCGAGTACGGCGTGAAGGACTTCCACACGGGAGACAACAAGGAAGCCTGGGAGCACTCAGACGGGCACGTGGTGAAGGGCGCCTACTCCTTCCACGAGGCTGATGGCACCAAGCGCATTGTGGAGTACACCGCCGATCCCCACAATGGTTTCAACGCTGTGGTGAAGCGCGTCGGACACGCCGACCATCCACAGGTGCACCACCATCATCATCACCACGAGGAAGGATACTAAGGCCATAGCAATCCAGCACATCCACTCACTTAGTCATTCCCGGATTCGACCCACAGTCATCAGAAACCGTACCTCAACACCCACACCCCTCTTCTATTTCTTCTTCCCCTGTCCAGCCCAATCATGTGTAGACAATTTAATTGATTCTTGCGCGTTCCGTGTAACCAAAGTCAATAAACACATAAGAGGACTTTAAAACTAATTAATTAATTAACTTCACTCGCCGCTGCGCATCTCTCCAATTATGCAACACTTGTGGAAGTGAGGAAGGAAGCGAATTCACTTCGCATTCTTGCAAAGAATTCAGCGAAAAAATAGTAATACAAATCGACGGGTGAATTGAAAACGATGAAGAGTCAAAATTGTAAGATTTCAAGAGAGTAAATTGAAAATTTAGCATTAAAAAGCGGTGAAAATTACCAAATTTACTTCAAAACCATCAAAACACCTTCCAATTGCTCTATAATGATTATTTTGTGAATATTTCAGTTGGTTTTATTGGCATTCTTTGGAAATTTTGGCTGAAAACCTGAAAATATTACTTTCCAAAGTCGATTTTGATAGTTTTTGAGTATATTTAATCAAAAAACATGTATTTTTTTATGGTTTTCAAGTGAAAAAATTGAAAAGACATGAGAAATTTTATATCAATTCAAAGTCTAGGAACATTTAAGGATATTTCTGATAATCTAAGACTTTTTTTTACTATTTTCTCATCATATACAAATCTCAAAATTTTCATAGTAGAACAGATAAAAAGCTTCTCAAAAAAACAAGTCATAAACTATGAAAAATTGACTCTTCATGGTTTTCGATTCACCTTTCGAATAAAGTCTGTCTTAATCTACTTACGAGATTTTGCAAATCCGGTTGAGCCATCACGAACTTGTAGAATCGCTGATTGCGGTGCAGCAGCAAGTAGAGGAGAAGCGTGGCCTGATCAATGGTGATTATTTGGCAAAGAGTGTTGTACAGCACGGAGAAGTCAATCTTGAAGCTGATTACCTCCTTTGACTGGTCATTTTCTGCAGGAAATTCAGCAAAATGTGAATGAAGTGGAAAAGAAATGAAAATTTATAACAATATAATCCAATTACAGATTATATTTATCAGTTATTTCTTCATTTTTTGATTCTCAATCGTTGCTCTGAACAAATTGGAATTTGTTCTTTTAAAAAACATTGAAAAATGCAATAAAATTCCACTGGAATTTTTTAAAGCACACGCTTTTTCAAATACGAATTTCACAAGCATAACGAAACAAATTTCCTGCTCATTGATAAGCTCAGCTAACAAGTTGTAGAATTATCTGCAGACTCGCTGTGGCAGTGTTTGGGTAATACAAACCCAGCAGAGAGCGAGAGAGATTATCGTGCTCACGAAATGAGATTGAAAGTGACCTAATTCTCCAGCTCTGCAGTAAATTGGAGCACAGACACCTTTTCTCACCCATAAAAACAACATCACACAAATCTAATCCTCTTTTCTTGGGCGAGAAGAGAGAGAGAATGTGAGCCAATGAGTCAACATTGTGCATTTCGACTTTTGTGTATCTCAGCGAATGATCAGCGAATTTAACGAGCATGATTTATGTCTTCCAAAGCACCCGTGAAAATTGGGAGCTTTGCACAATGTCTGGCTAAAAAAATTCAATTAGCCACTAATTAGATAAAGATTAGAGCGTTGCGCGAGCGCGTGGCGAAAGTGCAACAGCTTGGCTGGCGAGTGGATTTCTCACCTGAAGCATTGGCGCAGTTGAACAGACTGAAGCGGTACAGATTCTCCTTGCCAGTGTGGTGATTCGTGAGGATGAGAATCAGCAGGAGGCTCTGGTTGGCGAGCGGGAAGTGCTCTCTGAACGTGTTGGGCAGGTCGGGATTCGCCAGCACGTCCTGTGGCTTCCGGAACGTGAGCATTGACCACAGCGACTCTGCGATGCCGAACACGAAGGATCCGCCGGAGTTGAAGCCGAACATCCCCTGAGGCATCTGACTCTTGCGGCTCACGAAGTGCAGAAGAGCGCTCATGAGTGTATTCCCATGCTGACACTTGTAAATTGCCCTGAAACAGAGACAAGAAGCGGCTGAAGAATGATCAATTTGTGGATTATCTTGAAATCTCACCTGTAAATTGAAGACTTCTCCGTGGATTGGGAGGAATAGAGATGCACGGAGAGGAGAGTGATGAGATTGTTCACCGCCTCCAGGTGCAAATGGTACGTAAAGTCCTTCACCGGGATAACAACGATAATATTAACAATTGCCTCGAGGAAGGACTCGAACTTTGAGCCATCCACAGTCACACTGGTCGCTTCTGAGCTGTCCTCGACAGCCACACTCTCGTCCTGCTTCTCCACGGACTCCTTCTTGGCCGCCGGCACAGCCTCGAAGTGCTGCAGGAGCTGATACTCAGATCCCGTCTCCACGATGTACTTCACCAGGGAGCGAATGATAAACAGAGCGTTGAAGCTCTGCCACACATGCAGAGTGCTTTCCTGGTCAGACAGAGCCAGCAATTCCGTCACCTTGCTCAGGAACACCGAGATCAGGGATCCCAGATTGCCGGAGTGGAGATTGTGGCTGATGAAACTCTGGCAAGTCGTCTCCAGGCGAGAATCCAAGCTCAGCTGCTCCTGACTGAAAAAGAAACACAACAGACGCGATAACACAAGCCACCTGCTTCCGGACAGATTGCCACGCTCACCTGTTCGTGGGGAATGCAATGTGGAACTTGAGGAAGCTCTCCCAGAACATAGAATCCTCCACCGGAACGTGATCCTTTCCCACGAACTTGCTGAGAAAATCATTGCTGGCGAAGTCTTCCTGTCGGCTCACATTGGCTCCCATTTTCACCACTTAAACACTTATCAAACACACACCAACTATCCAATCAGTCAATACGGCAAGTCTGGGTCTTCAGAGAATAGTCATTGCAGGGCTAAAATAAGGATAATTCACGCACAATTGCAGGACAATTCGCCAATATTATTTTTGCCACGGTGTAAATAAGATTTGACGTCAAACTAATTCCCAGCATTCTCGTTGGCGCTTCAATCGCGACTACAATTTCAAGCGAACGACTTCTCTTAAGATAAGAGATTCTGGACGATCTCCACAATTTACAAGGATAAAACGCAAAAATTTATCGATATAACACATTTTATTATTTTCAATATATTTATGTGTATATTTGTTATTGTTAACCCAATTAATTTTTCATCTTTTATATCTTGTATTATCAATTTTTTCAACAATTTCATGGGTAAAGCATAACATGTTTGCGGCTTTTTGTGAGACAATGAAAACAGCCTCGAAGATTTTTCTTTGTGGAATTTGCCTTCATTTCAGAAAGAACATTTTGATAAAATACTTCTCCAATTGCATAAAATTATAAATTACATCCTAATTCTCGCATTGCAATAATCAGTCAAATACTTTAAGTACAATTTCATTTAGATATAATCAAATAAGAGCCAAGAATAAGGAATCCAATTGAAAATACAATTTGGAATGCACAATATAATAGTTTATTGATTCATCCTCTTCCTAAACTTCATTCCTAGCGCATCTCTCCTAAAAGTCAAAAAGGGCGGGAAGAAATATAATTCATAATAATTACCTAAAAGAGTACAATCTGCATTTCACGCGCCTAAATGCATTTTCCTTCCACCTTTTTGTCCTTCTCGCACCTCTCCCTCTCTCTCTATAATTAACATTTCATCACAGTCAATCCTATTTCAATATAAATTATATCTTTCATACAGGATTAAACTACTTGTGTGATTGTTTAATTAAATTAAAAATTGCCTAATCTCAGAAAAAGAAAATGTTCAACCACAAAATGACTTGAAAAAAAGGAATCATAAATTCTAAACGTGGCAAAAGAAGTTAATAATTTCAAGCCAATTCTCTCTCCGCTCGATGATCTCAATTTGGAAACATATTCTGCTGAGATGCGTCATTCTCGAAGTCACTCCATGCATTATTCAACTCCATGAAAATCATCTTCGCTATCTTCTCATTGTCAGTTCCCATTTGCTGTGTCGGCCGGAAGAGTGGAAAGAAGACAGAGTTCACAGGCGGTCACACACATTGCAAATTGATTTCTGTACACTCACCTTGTCGGGATGAACGGCCAGGCAGGCCTTCCTGTACGCCTTCTTCACATCCGCCGCGCTCACCAGCTGGTGCATCTCACACTTGTTCCACTTCGCATCCGGCCACAGCACGGCGTGCATCGAGCAGAGCAGAGCCCGGATGTTGCTCTTCTTCCCCTCCGTCTGAAAGTGGCCAAAAGGGGGAAACATTGAGACTCCTCCCACTCGCTTGCCACGCCCACTTATCATGTTTCTCAGCATTTTAAAGCCAAATTTATCTTTACTTTTCGCCTCTCAGAAACAACTTTAACCAATTTTCGCCTCTATTCAGCTCACAAATCCTTTCCCACTCTCTTCTCTTCATTCCCATTCATTCATCACACAACAAGAAAGCACTTTTATGGCCTTTCTCTCTCTCTCTCTCTCTCTCTTTGCTACCAAAATGTATCATGAAGAATTGTTAAATTTCGACAATCTTGCACACAATAGGCCAAAAGTACTAAATCTCACGTCAAATGGACGCAAAAATAGCACCATAAAAACAGCATAAACACTCACCCATTCCATAATCTTCAATTTGTCCGGATCCATATCTCTCGCAATTTCCTCTTTGCGCATTTCGTTGATTGAACGCGGCCCTTGGGAGCTCTTGCTGCCGAACGTGTAGCCTTGACTCCCCAGAATGTCAGCGAAAATGTCACCACTTCCCGGATTGCTCTTCGCCCCCTTCTGTGCGCCCGCATTCGGCGGCGTCTCGGCGAAGTGCGACCGGCTGTAGTCCGGCTTCTGCTCACCCGGACTCTTGGCCGTCTGATGGCTGGGCGTGGACGGCGCCCGCGGCGACGGAGTCGCAGCAAACTGGTGCGTCGGACTGGAGAATTGCGTCGATCGTGGACTGGGCGTTGTGCTCGTCTTTCCGCCGCCCCAATTCACATTCAAGCCACTCGCCAAGTTGCCCAGATCTGAGAATGGATCCGGCTTCTGTGGTGGCGCCGCTTGAGGCTCCTTCGGCGCTGCCGAGGCGGAATTGTTGGGCTGCAGAGGCATTGTGGGTGCCGTGAAGTTGCCCGCGAAGGGATCAAAAGTCTCCCCGCCATTGCTGGGCGATGATTTCTGCGGGAAATTTGCGTTGAAGTTCAAATTCAATCCATTCAAGTCCTCCGGCATTTGACTAGATTGCTGCTGATTCGTCTTAATTGAGCCAAACAAGTCATCCAGTCCATTGGCATTCGATGAAGCGTTCTGCGTGTTGCCCAACAGATCGGGAATAGGATTCTTCATGCCATTTGTGGGCGGCAGCAAATCCCCATCGGCATCGTGAGAGTCAAAACTGCCCAGAAGATCAAAACTGGCCTCCTGACGCACAGGCGGCGGCTCTTCTGCACTCTCTCTGCGCTCGCCCCTGGCCAAATTCAGCAGATCCACATTCTTAATGCTCGACAACTGCTCGGGCTCTTCCTCTTCAGTGTCCGACAATTCTACCGGCTCAATGTCAGGACGCTGTGGCATAGCTGGCGGCGGACGAGGCGGCGGCTGAGCCACAGCCGGCGGTGGAGCAGGACGCGGAGGAGCGCCTGGACCAGATTTCGGCTTGGAAATGAAATTATCCACCGTCTCTTCGTACTCCAGAGCATTGCTGAAGAGATTCAGCGGATCTCTGGCCGGCTTAGTTGTCATCCACGGCAAGGTGATTTGCGGCATTCTCTCCATGTCACCCACAAAGATGCTCAACGCCACATGGAACTTCATCGGCACGTGCTCCACATCGGGAACATCATCCAATTCCGCTTTGTCAAAGTGCAAAAGAGTCTCCTCTTCCGGTATGAAGCCAGTGTGGAGTTGGAATTGACATACTTTCAGGCCTTGTGGTCGTCCCATGCCCTTGAGGGCATTCCTGGCATGGAATACAGACACTGTGATGTCACCACAAACAGTCACATTCAGCGGAATGGACACCTTTCCCTCGGAAGCGTGATACAGACGCATCTTCTCGTACTCCTGCACCGTGGAGAAGACTACGCGATCATGGCAAGTCACCTCCACATACATTCGACACCCATCGCGGGCCTTCGTCATCCTGGGCACCGGTGAAACCGTGACAGAGACAAGAGTGACGGGCTTGAAGTGTGGAAAGTGCGGAGTGGTGCGCAGAATATCGCCCAAATAGTACAAATATCGCTGCTCCGACGGCTTCATATTCGGCGGCGTTCGCTTCACGGCAAATATCTGCATGGCATCTTCAGGCTCACGCACGAGACTCGCATAGATCAGCAGAGCACTCACCATTGTGGCCGCTGTGGCTCTGCCATTGTCTGTACTCTGAATAATCACCACACTCTTGGGATCTGCACTCAGGAATCCGTACATGTCCTCGGCAATTGAGTACATGGCGTGCAGAAGAGGCGCCTTGGGCGGCGCCGGCGAATACATAAAACTGCACTCCACCGTCCGAACAGGTGGCGGAAGTCGCGGACACGTTCGCGCACCCAAATTGTAGATGCTCATCTTGGCCAGCGAGTGTCGACTCTCCAAATACAGCTTCACGTCGTCGATGTTGTTCGTCTTGTAGGCAGATTCCAGGCCCTCCGACGGACACGGCATGACGACTATTCGTGATGTGATGTAGCTAATGTCCAGGTCTGTGCGTGCAATTGTCTGCTGCATCGTCTGCATCACCTTGGACGACGTGTCCTTCAGGTTCTTCAGGAAGCTTCCCGCGCCGCCGCGCAGCGACGAGAACAGCCCTCCGCCGCCGTGATGTTGATAAGGATCCGCCGGATTGACGGGCATTTGTGCTGGCTGCCGGGGAAGTTCGCTGGGACGCGGAGGCGCTGGACGATGCGGCGGAACGGGTGATGCTTGAGGTGGAGTCGGCCGCGGAGGCTGCGCTGGACGGTTGGGCGCATGAACAGGACTCGGATTCGGTGTTTCACTCGGAGGCGTGTGCAGAGGTTTGCCCTGCAGCCCCAACGGACCCTTCAGCGACCACTCCATCGACTCGGAAATAGCAGCTAATCTCTCCAGCACAGTGGAAATGTCGAATCTCTTATTGGGATCCACCTGGAAAAAGCCAAATAATAACATTTAGATGACAATCTTGCAAGAAAAGGGCAAAGAAGTTCTCACTTGAAGACATCCTTTGATGATATCGTGGAAGCAGACGTAGCGTGAGTCTCCGGGCAGCGTGTAGTTGGCATTGATGATCCTCAGCTTCGCGGAGTCCTCGAAGGGGTGCTTCTGGAAGCACAGACAGTAGAGGATACATCCCAGCGCCCACACGTCTGCCTTGGGGCCTATTTGATAGTTGGCCCAAGTGTCCAGCTGCTCTGGCGATCGATACATCGGCGTCGTCACCGTGGCCAGCTGATCCTCCAGGTTGTTCCGCTGCTGTGCCGACCACGACATGTCCGGCGTGTAGATGTCCGTGGTGGCGGACCCGAAGTCGCACAGCTTCAGCAGGCCGTCATTGGCCAGGAGGAAGTTCTCAATCTGCCCCCAATTAGTGGCCAATTAGAAACGCAGTTTCTCACTAGGATTACACAGGGGAATTACCTTTATATCTCTGTGGGTTATTGGTGGATGCTGCGAGTGCAGATGACTGACTGCACGTGCCGCTTGATAGAAGACACGGAGAACTGTGGGCGGTTCTAGAGCGCTGCCCAGACAATCGACCAGCGTGCCGCCTGAAATATTCCACACAACAAACACAATGAGAGTCAAAGGCGCGCTGATAAGCCAGCCCGCGAAAGCTGAGTGATAAATTATCCCCACACACCTTTGCACAACTCCGTGACCAAGAGATACTCCGCATTTCCCTGGGCGCTCTGCGTCCGGTCGATGAATGACGCCGCCACGAACGTGACGATGTTGGGATGCCCGGACAGCTGCTTGTGGATGTTGATCTCCTTGATGATGGTGTTGCACGCCTCCTTGTCGGCGCCAATGAGCTTCTTCAGGGCATACTCAGCGCCAGATTGAGTGTCCTGCGCCACATACACAAACGCGAATCCGCCTACGTGGGCAGAGAGACGAGCATTAGCACGCGATAAGGCATTCCCTGCCCTTCGGCAGAGTGTGCACTTGCGCCGAATTGGCCTCGAAACTGCCACAGAATCTCGCAAAGCTCGCAAGAGCTGTGATTTTTTCAGGCAAAAGCGCCGCAAATCTTTCGTCCTGAGCAAATTGATTTATGTCTCTCGTGCGGAGGCGGAGGAATCAAATAGCATGAAGGGTATCATCGTTGAAATAAGACACTCTCTCCTTCAGCTATTTCTGGGCAAAGTGGCAAAGAAAGAAAAAGAAAACTTCGCCCTGAAAAAAGCCTCCATTGCAATCCGGAAGACAGACTTTTTTCCACAATGTTCGGGAGTCAAACAAAGCGTAATCGCATGATGGCCTTTGGCCAGGAAATAAACAACTGACACTCATGTGCGGGACTTCAATTGCCTTGTTAAAGCAAAAGTTATTCCAATTCATAAACACACGCTCACGAAATTGAGCAAGAGAGTCTTAAGAATGACCAGTGAATATGCGCTCTGGAGCTGCGGTCGAAGCCAGGAAAGAAAGTTCTGGCAGGGAATTTCCCAGCGGAAAACCCCTTGCCACTCTCCGCAGCCTCAATTGTGGCCACAAAGACCGATCAATGGTCACAAATTGAAGGGATTTGGAGGCGACATGAGGTAAACAAACGCCAATTAAAGGGCGTAAAGTGAAAATTGTGCAAGTGAAAATACGCTCACCTTCAGCGATCACTCGCTTTATTCGCAATTTCAGGGCGCCCACTTCCACCACTTGGCCCACAAACTCATTCTCCTGACCACCATTCGTCCCTGTGTTAAAGTATCCTATAGCTGACTTGAAGAATTCACTCATTTTCCCCACAAAGCCACGAAAACTCAGAAGCAATCACTCGCGCTATCCAACTTTCTTTTCCACAAAAACGCCATGTTCTGACGTCCCACGGCCAGCGCGTGGCAATTCACTACGCGTAAAATACCCGCGAGAGTCTCACGCATTTTTGTACAGTTTGCGAAGAGTGAATTTTACTGATAAATCGGCATCTTGCGAGCGGAGAAGAATGTATTCCATCTAAGCATTTCCCAGAATTATTCATTCATCCATTCAATTGATCCAAAATATTTTTCTACACTTTCACAGCGTGAATTTGCGACGTGTTTGTAAAAAGCAAGAAGTCGGAAAGTTCTCCGAAAGTGTGTGTCATTCATGGGATTGACCTGCTCCGGAAGCCCGTATCTCTCGAGGTGTGGTGGAAAATTGTGTGAAAGAGCCTGAGAAACAGCCCAATGGCTGCCACCCTGAAGCCCTACCTGACCGCCGGTGAGTGTGCCTTCGTGTCCAGGTCGAAATCCCTCCGCTGACTTGGCTTTCTTGCCTCCCGCACAGTTCGTCACACGCTGACGGCGGCGATGTGTCTGTCCAACTTCTCCTCCCAGGTCGTGGAGCGGCACAACAAGCCCGAGGTGGAGGTGAAGAGCAGCAAGGAGCTGCTGCTCACGCCCGTGGTGATCTCGCGGAACGAGAAGGAGCGCGTGCTGATTGAGACCAGCGTGAATTCCGTGCGCGTGAGCATCGCCGTGAAGCAGGCGGACGAGATCGAGAAGATCCTCTGCCACAAGTTCACGCGCTTCATGATGATGCGCGCGGAGAACTTCATCATCTTGCGCCGGAAGCCCATCGACGGCTACGACATCAGCTTCCTGATCACCAACTTCCACACTGAGCAGATGTACAAGCACAAGCTCGTGGACTTTGTCATCCACTTCATGGAGGAAATCGACAAGGAGATCAGCGAGATGAAGCTGGCCGTGAACGCCAGGGCGAGGATCTGCTCTGAGGAGTTCCTCAAGCGCTTCTAGACACACACACAGGCATTTCCTTCAACACCAGTTGTATTCCGCAATCTTTTGTATTGGTACTGTTCAGTTCTACACATAAATTATATCGAGAGACGAAAGAAAACCAGGGAAACACTTAAACATAAACTACTCATCGGGATAGAGTATGTCGTCCAGGAGCGCGAGCACCTTGCGCCGAAAGCCACTCATCTGTTTGTCCGTCATCTGCTCCATCTCGGGCATCAGACTCAGCAGGAAGAGCTTGCGCGGATTCTCTGTTTCGGGGGTGAATTTCCGCTTCTGCGACTTCACCTCGCTCAGGTTGATTGAGTAGGTTTCGTTCTCCGTGTCGATCTCCTGCATGATGCTGCGGATCAGCCGCTTCTTGTCCGTGGAGTCGCCGGGCGTGGTGGTGGAGGACTGCACGTAGGGCTCCTCCAGCACCACTTCGTACTCCTCGCAGTCGCGCTGCTCCTCGCTCGGATCCGGCTTCACTCGTCGGCCGCGCAGCACGCGCTTCTTCGCCGACTCCTCTTCCTCATCTGTGTTCTTGCTGTCCAGATTGTCCTCCTCGTCCGCGGCACTCTTCACCACCTGATACGGCACGGTCATCTTCACGAACGGCATGATGAACTTCATCTCGTCCATCAGATAGTATCGACACTTCAGCGTCTGTCCGTTCTGCTCCGCCTTCAGCTTCCGCAGGAACACCGTTCGCAGGTTCCGCCACTTGTCGCGGATGTTCTGGGCTGAAATGACAAGCACACATTGAACTCCTGCACCCTCCTCCAGGCAGTGGGAGAGCCTCACGATTGTCGCCCATCTCGTCGGCGATCTTCTTCCACACTTTCTCAATGAACTCCCTGTCCGAGTACTCAGACATCCCGAAGTCGTACAGGCAGGGATTCTGCTTCACCAGCCGCACGAGGCGCACGTTCTCCTGATGCTCTCTGTGCCTGACCATGATTCTACAGCGTCAAAACACCGCGAGGATATGCAAAATACACTTTGTTATTATTTTCCAAAGCGGACATCAAGAGTGCGGAATGACAAGGCGATGACAGGGCGGCAACTCCGGAAATTGTCGTCCGAAAGAGGGATAATTTTTGAACAGCAACGGTTGTGCGTGTTTCCTTCAATTTCTCCCTTTTCCGCTTTTCTCGACCATCAATGGATAAGTTAATGACTTTAGGAAGACTTCTTGTGTATGTGATTATTGATAATTGCAAAAATAGATACTTCTTTATTCAGAAATGCTTATTTTCAATGTCTTTCTTTCACATCCAAGTGATGGCAGCACTTGCGGACCCCATAAGAATCCTCTTGAAATTTTCATATGAAAAATTTCCAACGATCATGTGATTTTTTTTCACATCAATGTCTCTTATTAGATAAGATAACGAGTAGAATTCATTTTCTTAAAGTTAAAACATCATGATATTATATTAGAAAACTTTCTTCCCACATCTTCGTGTTGACAAAGACATTAGACACTTCCGCTGACTGGAGCGGAACATTCGCACACCGTCGAGGAACGTGGCAATAGTTGTTTGCGGGGTTTCGCAAGAAAAGTGGTGTCAATAATAAATAAAGAGGTTTTCTCGTGTGTGCAAGTGATATTGTAACGAAAGATGTGATTTCCCTGCAATAGGAGTGTGGAAAGTGTTGTATAAACAATCGCGACAATGTATTTCCCGGTTGGCTGGCCTAAAATACTCGATATCGCGGAAACGGCGAATGGTTGTCAATTGCTGAAGATTTGTTGTGACCGAGTTAAGATTCTCTTTGCCATTCTCACGGAAGACAGCCTGAGAATATGGTACACAAAGGTAATGTCCGCGAGATTCCCATGCCACGTAGAGATGATGAGTAATTGCGCCCCATTTCAGCCGTGCGTCCCAATTGTCTGCCATCGTCGGGATGCAAAATCGATAGAGAAACATGGCCGGAATATGCTGGTGGAGTGGAAGCCCGATTCCAGCATGCTCGTGATTGTGGTGAGTCCGGAAGTGCATTCCGCCTGGCCACGGCCCCAGAGTGACCCTCTTTTCCCCTGCTTGCAGACAGAGGACGGCACGCTGCTGCTCTTCAGCCTGGGAGTCGTCGACACGCCCAAGGGAATCTACAACCAGATCGACTCGCCGTTCCAGAACTTGCGCCGCGACAGCGCCGAGCTGTTCGTGAAGGAGACAATTCCCTCGCTCACGCTCACGCTGTCCCACGAAGTGGCACTCTTCGTACCGGTCACCTGCGTGTCCTGCGTCAGCATCTCCCAGATGATGGTCGCCACGGAGTCCGGAAAGGTGCTGCGCATCCGCTGGGATGGCGTGGAGGAGCGCGACTTCTCGCTTGACCTCAAGCGCATCCCCTTCAGTGTGAACCAGCAAGTTAGCTACGGTGAGTTAAAGGCCAGGAGAAGAAGAGAATCAACTTTCGCTCAGATCCAGGCCGAAAATCGATGAGAGCAGTGATTCTTGGCAGGAGAAATGCATGAATTTTGCAAAATCTACTCCAATTGGAACATTATCCGTTCCTAATAGGAAGTTTTCCTGGTGCTGCAGAGTAATTCAGAGAGTTTCATGGCTAATTTAGTGTATTTATCCTTTGCAGCTGTGCCAATTTTAGAGGATAAAGTTCACATAACTTCGATGGACTATTCGCCACTCGTGGGCGGTTTTGCCATCACACTCAACGATGGTCGAGCGGCTTTTCTCACGGCGAACAACCTCAAGTTTGACCCAAACGTACGTGAAATAATCTATTGTTCGATGTACATGAAAATGCCTTCATGAAGCTCATTGTTTTCTCTTGCAGCAAGTTCAAGGAATATGGGCTCAAAACATCGACGATGCGAGTTGCGCTACGATAAATCACAAATACCGCTTGATAGCGTTCGGGCGCAAGAAGTAATTTGTCCATGTCAACTAGTTGCTCGTCAGTTTGTCTCTAATTAATTTGTTTCTTGCAGTTCGCAGGCTGTTGTGTACACGATAGATGACTTAACTGGTGGCCTAGAATTGTCGCATGCTCTAATTCTGAGTGCCAAAGACTTTCCGGGCTCGCCTGGCGCCGTGCGGGAGATGAAATGGACTCCGGATGGATGTGCAGTGGTGCTTTCGTGGTGCAAAGGCGGGATTTCGCTGTGGAGCACTTTTGGGTCGACGCTCATGTGCTCCTTGGGTTGGGATTATGGACTGAATGTGGATCTGGCCAAGCACAATCCCCTGGACATCCAGTCGATGGACTGGTCAACGGAGGGCTATCAGTTGTTCATGGTGCGACACACGAATGCCCAGGAAGTGGACGGAGACAACGCATCGACGGCGGAGCCTTCGCGATCGCTGCTCGTGCTGGACTTTGTCAAGAGCTCAATGTCCGTGAATCCGTGCATGAGCTTCCACTCGCACCTGTTGCTGCAGGGCGACGACAAGCTGTACATGAATCAGGGCGAGAGTCTCCGCAATATTCACTACAACTCACGCAGCTACGGCACAGATCTGCGCACATTCGACTCGCCGTTCTACACGGGCTGCAAGCAGACCAACTTCTTCGCCACATCCTACAGCATCTGCACGACGAGTTACATAAACGATGGTGAGATCAAGCGTGTGGCCAATGATGATGCCATGTATCATTCGGATGACTATGAGCTGGGAAAATCACTGCAAGTCACCAGCATATTGTCGGAGAGCAAACACTGGATCGTTGTGCAACTTCCCACAGCTTATATGGCCAGCAATTGGCCAATTCGAGTGAGTTTCGCCATGATTAAGATAGGGAATATAATACATTGCATGCCGACAACATATAATTTGACGATTTAATTCATCTCTCTCTGTTTCTCTCCCGCCCCGAAAATACAGTACAGTGCAATCGACAAGAGCGGAGTGAATTTGGCTGTGGCCGGTCGACTGGGCTTCGCGCTCTACTCCCTCGGCACGCGCAAGTGGAAGCTGTTCGGCAATGAGACGCAGGAGAAGGACTTTGTCGTCACCGGGGGACTGCTGTGGTGGAATGAGTTCATCATCATGGGATGCTACAGCATGGTGGGCCACAGTGACGAGTTGCGACTGTATCCGAAGGACGCGAAGCTGGACAATCGCTTCGCGAAGATCATTCCCTCCAGTGCACCGGTGGTG